TTGTTGGTGGTGGTGGTTGTGGGGCTTGAAGTCAGGGCCTGGGCACCCTCCCCTGGGCCTCTATGTGTTTAAGGCTGGTGCTCTACCACTTGAGTCACAGCACCACTTTTGGCTTTTGAGTGGTTACTTGGAGATAAGAGTCTCATGGGGACTTTTCTGCCCAGGCTGGCTTCAAACCGTGATCTTCAGATCTCAACTTCCTGAGTAGCTAGGATTACAGGCATGAGCTATCAGCACCCAGCCAGAAGTAATTTTAATTCACATGAAAAATGATAAAGTATAGGTTAGACTCAGATCAGTGAGTTCAAAGGGGGAGCAATAAGTCATTCTGAGAGGCCATAGTTTGGGTTAGAATTGTGCAGGCTACAGGCTTCTTGGGGGTTTGTCCTCCCTACTTACTCCTAGAAGATGATGGACAGGTGGAGATGGGGAGCAAGGATGGTACTCACAGGACTGTGAACTGTCCTGATCTTCTTGGAAGGCATTTGGGAATAACAACTAGCCAGATGGTTCACACCTGTAATCCTAACTACTCAGGAGGCAGTGATCTGAGGATTGCAGTTCAAAGCCAGCCTGGGTAGGAAAGTCCATGAGACTCTAATTAACCATCAAAAAGCCAGAAATGGAGCTGTGCTTCTAGTGGCAGAGCACTAGTCTTAAGCAAACAAAACAAAACAAAACAAACCTCTGGAACAACGCTCAGGCCCTGAGTTCAAGTCCCAGGACTAGCATGCACGTGTGTGTGTGTGCACGCACACATGCACGCACACACACACACACACACACACACACACAGAGCCATAACTGCAAAATTCAAACCAGGACCATTATTTTTCAGCAGAACTGGAACAAATGGACTCAGAAGTTTTCTGACAGGGCTGGGAAGGTGGCTCAGTGGTAGAGCACTTGCCTTGCATGCCTGAGGCCCTGGGTTCGATTCCTCAGCACCACATAAGCAAAAAGAAAAAAGCTAGAAGTGGTGCTGTGGCTCAAGTGGTAGAGCACTAGCCTTGAGCTGAAGAGCTGAGGGACAGCGCCCAGGCCCAGAGTTCAGGCCCCACGACCGGACCCCCCCGCCAAAAAAAGAAGTTTTCCGACAAAGATGTTCAACCCAACATTGTTACCATAGCAATAAACAACACAAGCGTTTGGATGCCATCAGATTGCCACTGCACAATGGGAATGCAGGTGGCTGTTTGCAGTGTGCTATTGGAGGGTATTTGTGGACATGAAAAGATGATAATGATAAGTATTTAAGTTAAAAAAAACCCTTTGATATGTACCATGCAATTTCATAATTGTCAGATTTGGACATCACAAAATATCTAAATCACACACACACACACACACACACACACACACACACACACAGAGAAAAGTATAGACACTTATTTGTAATCATTTCTACCAGATTTGATCTCCAGTAGAACTTGAGACCGGATCAGACATGCAACACATTGATTTAAAAAAAAGATGCTTCTAGAAGAAATGCCAGGAAATTCGAGAGGCAAGAGAGGAAGGGAGGGAAGCCAGGCTGGACCTTCAGCTTGTGGCCCACAGAGGATGGCTCCAGCCTGGTCTCACAGAAAAGAGTTCTGGGGCCCAAATCGTACCTCAGGTTTGTTCTCACAAGGCCACTCTGCAGGGTGATTAACCCTCAGGCCCTCAGGAGAAAGCAACCCCAGTGCCTTGAGAACCGCAAGAGGCACCCAGATAGTAAAAGGCACCCCAAGGTATCTGGGTGGAGTATCCCATTTAGCATCCCTTGATTTTTTTTCTTCATATCGAAAACGCATTATTTTTAAAAATGATAACATTTGAAAATATGGGTGTCCATGGAGAATCCCTGCCCCAGTGCATGCTGGGTGGGGGATATGACATCATTCAAACTCTACTCACTTCCTTCTCCAAAGGATAGAGAGCCTCTTCCCATCTACGAAGAAACCTGCTCTCTCTGTCTGCGGCAAATCCATATTATAAAAATGGACAGAGGCCAAGAGGCCTCTTGGGCTGTGCACAAGGCCTGGCTAGGATGGGATCCCGAGGACGGTTATTTTTTAGAATACACGGTGGCTTCCTCCTTCTCAACCACTGCATTTCCACCCCTCAGACTCTCCTTCAACACGGTCCGCACCACACAATTCGAGGGCAAAAACACAGACATACTGTCGAGAACAAATTTGGAGGACTTAGTTGACTTCGACAGGTCAAGTTCCAATCCCAAAGATGAAGTGGACTTGCAGCACGCTTACAACATTGCAGATTTCTGTTTGCTTACATCTGAGAAATCAAAAGGAAGAATGAAAAACTAACACAAGGCTTGGCTAGGCTGAATGAAGCTGGTGATTAGTTAAATGACTCAGACATCCCTCGTGGAAAAACAAACAAAACCAACCTCCATTCCATGTGGTCCTGGGGTTTGTTTAGTGCCCTTTGATAAGAACTTTCTGCTTGCCTGGTGGTCACTGATTTTAACTGACAGCACGTGAGTGTCAATCACAACTGGAAACAGGCACACAGACTCCGGGGGAGCTCACGAAGCTGGTGGCCTTGATCCCATTTTTGAATGTGCATTGACTCACTATATAGGCTAAGAAAGATGTACTATAGATGCATCAATGAGACCCAGAGACCCCAGGGAACCATGGGAGAATCCTGATCTCTGGACAGAGGCAAAGCACAGCTCTATCATGTGGTTGGAGAAAGCCTTGTCCTTAAGAAGAAGATGAGGTGGGTGGGTGGGAATTAAAACTGTTAGGCTCCTCAAGAAAATCGGCTGAGAGCGCGATTGTATTTTGTCTCAAATCAAGAGCTAGCTGGCTGTCTCTGAACATGAAGAGGGAGTTCATCAGACTTCCTTTTCTTCCTCTTCTTCCAGCCCATTGGCACCGATCGGGTCTTGAAGTCTGGGAGGAGGCCCCAGCAGAGCTGAGCTACATTGTCACGCCGGGAAAATGAGCTCTTAAAATGCAAACACTTCCTCCCGACTGCGTGCGCTCGTGGCAAATGGATTCGAGAGCCTTTCACCCAATGTTCTCACAGAATGGCAGCCCTTTGGGGGCTATTTCTGAGACCAATGAGCCGAACCCGGAGTTCTCCTTCAGATGGCTTTGTTGTTATTTATTTTTCAGACAAGCGTACTGAGGTTCTGAGTGGATAAAGAATTTGGGGGTGGGAGTATGTGGGGGGAGGGCGGTGGTGAGGATCCAGTACTTCCTGCTTAAGAAAGATAGATTCCAAGGTCTGCACCTGCCACTTGGCTGAATCAACGGGACTCGGACAAGTCTCCGTTTCTCTGGACCTCTCTTTTACTGCTCATGCAAAGCGGGTGAAGATCTGAGAACTGGGGGGGGGGGGGTGGAGAGGGGCGGGCACAGAGCTGTCGTGGAGAGACTGAATGCATCAGGCACTGTGCTTATTGAATGCAGACGTGTGGAGCACTTCCTGCACCTCGGGTAATGCTCTAAGGTCGTCTCTTGCCTTTGGTGAGAGTGTCAGCCAACACTGACCCCTGCTGTCCTTTATTGAGCATCTACTATGACCGTCTGCTATATGCCCAGTCACCTTTGCACATCTCCCACGGATTGGGCCTCGAGCCTGAGACACAGGTGCGTTTTCATCTTCTCCATGGAGATGGGAAAGTGGAGGCGTAAAGAGCAAGTGAGACATCTTTAGAGATGTAAACAGTGGAACTTTCTGCCACGGAAGTTTTGGAATGCATCTGAAAAGGAGGGGGCTGAAAGGGGGGGTTCCACATGGCCTGCCTAGCTCTCCACCCTCTACCCAGCAAGGACGCTTTCCTGCAGCAGAACTCCAATGCCCTAACCCTCCATCTGCTCACCCTCTAGTGTGCGCCTCAGAGAAAAGTCTCGAAAAATTCCACGCGTGCCCACGATCAAACAATTACCAGCAATTCTCTTTCTTAGCCAGTGCCCAATTTCCCCAGACTTATTTTTTTTTCTGCAATCATTTTCCATAAGTCTAGATCAAGTGTGATTCCCCGCATTGCATTTAGTCAGTAAAGCTCTTAAACCTTCGTTTAAAATCACAGGTTTGTCAAAGTATAATTAGCACATGCTAAACTGTGTGCGTGGAAACCGTGCAATTTTACAAGCTCTGATGTAAGCATACAACCTTGGAACCATCACCACAATCAACATGAACGTGTTCATTACCCTGAGAGTCCCTCCGTAGCCCTTTGTCCCTCCCACTCACCCCGCACCACCCCTGCCTCGCCCACCTCCTCCACCCCCCTGTGCAATCACTAATTGCTTTCTGACAGCCCAGATCACTTTGTCTTTGCTTGAGTTTGACATAAATGTGAGCATACAGCTGTACTGATTGTTGGTCTGGATTCCCTTCATCTTCATAATTAGGCTGAGATTAATCCATGTTGTTGGATATATAAATAGCTCATTCTTCTCACGGGTGAGCAGCACTTGATTAGAAAGGTGTACCACAGCGTGTCTAGCCACTTATTGGTGAACATTTGGACTCATCCCAATTTGGGGCTATTATAAGGAGATCTGTTAAAACCATAAAAGGATAAGCTCTAAGCTTAGGAGAAAATATTTGTGAAGCATAGATCCAACAAGAGATAAATCTAGAGGATATATATATGTATATATATATATATATATACACACACATATACACACACACATATATATCCTTCAAAATCCAATGATAAGGAAACAAACAACCCGATTAAAAATGGGCCAAAGCTCTAAATTCCTACTTCACCAAAGGGGATAGGCAGTTGGGAAATAAACACATGAAGAAAACAGTGGACATCTCTATTTAGAAAGAAGAGAACTTGCAGGGGTCCTCACTGGACACCATGGGGGAAAACTCCACAACTTGTGGGTGGGGGATGGGAGGGGAAAACTGGGAGAGAGAGAGAGAGAGAGGGAAGGGGGTGACATTGTCCAAAAGGAAATGTGGTCTTTACCTGGCTTACGTACCTGTAACACTTCTCCTCCAAGAAGAGGCACCCAACATGCACCACCTGGAGCATGCTTCAAGTGTGGGCAAGAGGGCCACTGGGCGAAATTCTGTCCTTCACCACGACCTCCACCTGGACCCTGCCCAAGGTGTGGGCAGCATGGACCCTGGGGAGTCGAATGCCCCTCCTCACCTCTACAAGGTAGGCCAGCCCTTCCCCCACCCCACCCATCCAGGCAGGTGGAGACAGATACGTCGGAGATTCTCTGCTTGGTTACAGAAATGAGGGTGCCCAGGGCCGCTGGCTTCCCAACAACCAGCTCGTGGCGGAGCTCAGGGTGTGTTTCTATGTAGCCGGTAAGTTAATATCTTTTCTCTTGGATACAGGAGTGACTTATTTGGTGCTATCTCAATATACAGGCAAGGCTTTCCCTCCCAGATCTTGGTGGTGGGTGTGGATGGCCTACCTACCTGTCCCCCAACTACGGGACCAGTATCATGTAAAATAGAAGACTTACCATTTTCACCTCCAAGCCATGGACATCCAATCTTTTCTTTTCAGTAGTATTTTTCCTCTTTGTCTTTGTCCAGCCCGCTGCCTGAGAAGACTTCCTCCAGGCTTCATCCAAGAGACTCGCTTCCTGCAGACGTCATCTAAGGATTCACACCTACCAAGGGACTCTGCTGCTCAATGCCTTCTCTGGAAGGAAACCACATTCTGCCCTTTTACCCCTAACGTCGATGGCCCCTTGCCAGCAGGAAGTAGCCAGAGAGAATCTGCGCCCCATTTCATGATTATTGAAAGGCTGGAATGTAAGGCCCGCTCTTGGATGGCGAGCAGACCCCGCCCAGTACCTGCATTACCTAGGCAACTGGCACACCTGGAAGAGGTCATATCCGCATCTGCTGAGGTCACATCTGGATCTGATGTAGCCACGCCTTTCTCCCACTGGTCCCACCTCCCTGATCCTGGCCACACCTTTCCCCGCCCCTACCCTAGATAAGGCCTAACCCAGGGCCAGATACCCTCTTTGCCAGTCATGTGGAGTGCCAACCTGGCCTGGTTCCAGCAGGTCTACTGAATAAACCTACCCCTCACCTGAATACCACATGCGTGGTGTACTTCTTACTCGGTTACCTCTTTTTAAAAACCTAACACAAAGAAATAAGAGAACCCAGAAGGCAGACACCAGGGTGCACCTATTAGAATAGTAAAATCAGAAGCTCTGCCTTTAACCTCCTGCCGCCAGGCTGAGGGACAGCTGGTCCCCACACAGTATGGCGGTGGGAAGACGCTTCCAACTTCCCATCTCCCAACTCTGAGGTAAGATGACCTTGTTAGAAGCCACGGAGCTCATGGTGATTTGTGACAGCCACAAAAACAAGCTAATATGTCTTCCTGTGTCTAGACCCCGCCACCCCATTTCTAGTTATTTACCCAAGAGGAAAGAGAGCATGCGCACATCCGTATACAGATATTCTTAAAACTCTTTTTTAAAGAAATCTAGAAGAATCTTGTCCTCTGCCTCCCTCAGCTGGCCACTCCCCCACCCCCATGCTCTCTTGGATTTCTGGAATTTCCAACAAACATCTGTCAAGTTCCTACTGTGGCCGTGATTTCTCCTCCCCCTCTCCCCCCCTTAGACATATGGGAAGTGACTCCGTTTGCTTTTCTTCCTGGAAACATGCTCACCTGGCCCTGGAGATCACGCCCCGGTGTTTACTTTCAACAAACTCAGTTCTTCCATTCAGGCTTCTTCCTGAGTGTGTGTGTGTGTGAGAGAGAGAGAGACAGAGACAGAGAGACAGAGAGAGAGTCAGAGATACAGACTTATAAAGGATTGAGCTGCTAAGAAAACTTCAGAAACCTTGTGTGCAGTGAACATCTGTATTCTGTTATCCCAGGATAACTTCTTTGGGCAAAGACATGGCGATTTGAACTTGGGGCACCCTCTTCCTTTTCCGTCTAGATTATGTGGCTTTGTTGTGACTCTGAGTGACCGCTCTCCGTGGGGGTAGGTCAGTCGTATGTCTTGGCCATGGCTCTTCAGAGACCCTGCCAGCCCCACTGGCAAAGGGGGGGGGGGTGGGTCACTGGATCCAAGCTGGGTCACTGTAAAAATCTCTGGACTGTCCAGTCACCCCCTAACACGATACTGGGTGGGCGACATGCCCAAGAAAGGGAAACTGGGTTATCTGTGAGGGTGCTCACTCTTGCTAAGGGGCTGCGCTGGCAGTAAATTCATTCATTCATTGATTCATTGATTCCTTGATCCATTCATTTATCTTTTTGCTGGGCCTGGGCCTTGAACTCAGGGCCTGGGCACTATCCCTGAGCCTCTTTGTGCTCAAGGCTAACGCTCTACCACTTGAGCCACAGTTCTGCTTCTGGCTTTTTTTTTCTGAGTAGTTTATTGTAGATAAGAGTCTCATGGACTTTCTTGCCCCAGCTGGCTTTGAACTTCGATCCTCAGATCTCAGCCTCCTGAGTAGCTAGGATTACAGGCGTGAGCCACAGGTGCCCAGTTTCTTCTCATTATTATTTTAAGCAGTTGTACAAAGGATGTGCCATTTCATGAAGTGGTGTATGAACACAGTCTTGATCAATGTAACTTCTTTTAGCATTTGCTCCCACCTTTCCCCTACCAACCCCTTCCCTCGCTCTTCTTAATTTTGGAGAATACATTGGATGATTCCTCCTCCTCCTCCTCCTCCTCCTCCTCCTCCTCCTCCTCCTCCTCCTCCTCCTCCTCCTCCTCCTCCTCCTCCTTCTTCTTCTTCTGTCAGTCATGGGGCTTGAACTCAGGGCCTGGATACTGTCTCTGAGCCTCTTTGTGCTCAAGGCTAGTGCTCTACCACTTGAGCCATAGCACCACTTCTGGGGTTTGAATGGTTAATTAGAGATAAGAGTCTTACAGGGACGTTTCTGCCTGGGCTGGCTTTGAACTGCAGTCCTCAGAGCTCAGCCTTCTGAGTAGCTAGGATTACAGGCATGAGCCACAGCTACGTTGGATTCTTAACTGCATTCTCTCCTTCTCCTCCTTGTTTGTCTACCCCCTTTTCCCTTGACCCCACCCCACCTTGTTTGAGTACTTGTTTCCTGGTGTTTTATTTTTGCTGAACTTTGACTTTGCCTTCCTAAGGAATGACACTGTTTGAGAGCTCCCTTGAATCTGCCATGTTTCAGGGAAACAGGTGTAGACACTTGCATACCACCCAAAATAGTCATCCGGCAGGTTGACCTGTGGGCTACAAGCCAAGCTTCTTTGCTGGTCAAGTTTGGGACAGTTATCGGTTCAAAGGCTCATGGCGCAATCCCCTTCCTTTTAAAGAAATCAGAAAGCCCCAGAGTGCAATCTCAAAGCTCATCATTTTGTCTGGAAACCTCCAGGGGCCTCTCTTTGGGGGTGGCCGGCGGACACAGTTCAAACACACACACACACGTGGCTTCGTCTGTAGAATAGGTAATGTGGTTTCCTGTCAAATCTTGTCAAAGCTACTGTACCTCTCCCCCCCCCCCCTCCCGCCCCACCCAGGGCCTTAATCTGATGTGAAAGATAAATCCAATCCAAACAAGTTCAGATTTGCTTTGCTGTCCTGGTTACCTCAGCTTGGTGTGACCTTGATGCCTTCAGCCCTGAAAGCAGAGGTCGATACCATGAATTTCACGCCCTCCATTAAACCCGTGAGTGAGCTCAGTGAGGCATTCCAAGGTCCAGGGAAGGCGATGAATGCTGAGTTGTTTATTGCCGCCTCATATGTGCCCGCAGGTCTGTACTGGGGAGATGTCGCCAGGGGAAGAATTGGCCTAAGAAGCTCCAAGTTTGCTTTTTCAAGTCTCATCCACCAGTCAGATTCCTCCCTGTGTAGCAAGGAATGGTGGAAAAGTCGGCGATGAGAAATCCAACGAACGTCTCACCACCCTGACAAAAATCTCTTAGGGCTGCTTGCCGGCAATGTCTTCATGGTTTAATTTCATTCTGCGGTGTGTGCCACGTCCTTCTGGACTCTGTAGGGGTGGGAGGTGCTGCCTTTAATGATGTGATTCAAATTCGCGCCCTGGCCTTACTTTGTAGTCCATGTGAGATCTTACACAAGTCATGGCAACTGAGGGACTCATTTGCCGTTATGAGGATCGTGTGAATTGTCAGGCTGGGAAGGATCGGGTTGTTTATCATGTTCGCCTCTCTATCTCTCTCTCTTTTCTTCCTTCCAGTCATGGGGCTTGAACTCAGGACCTGGGTGCTGTCCCTGAGCTCTTTTGCTCAAGGCGAGCGTTCTACCACTTTGAGCCACAGCGCCACTTCCTGGTTTTCTGGTGGCTCATTGGAGATAAGAGTCTCAGGGACTTTCCTGTTCCAGCTGGCTTTCAAGCTATGATCCTCAGATCTCAGCTCTCTGAGTAGCTAGCATGACAGGCGTGAGCCACTGGCACCCAGCCTTGATTTTTACTCCTTGTGTGGCCTTAAGAACCTCTTTTGAGGGATGAGGCTGATGCACAGGTTGAGTGAGCTGATCTCAAAATGTTCATCATTAGACGTTAGATATTGGTCACTGCTGCGTCTGTCCTATGTGATGAACAGCCCAGCATCGCTCACTGTTCAATAACTACAGCTGTCCACTTCATGTGCATTTGATGATGGGGACTGGCTTCTGTGTGGATGTTTTTGGCCATGGACCTCTGGGTTGGTTGGGTCAGCGCTGACTGGGGCTGGATGTAGATAGATCACTTGACCTCTCTCTGGGACAATGTCCTTGTGTGCATCACGGCAGCAGTTCAAGAAGGGTGACCAGAAATGCAGGCCACCTCCTGTACCCTAGCTCACACTCTCCTGCTCACATCTGCCCACATTACAATGTCCAAAGCCGTTCATGTTACCAAACTCCACACCAAGGGGATAGTGAAGTGTATGCCATTTGCAGGGGTCTATGGGAAGAGAGAAGAGGCATGTAGAGAAAAATGTCATCGGCCACAAAGTGTTTATATAAACAACAAGAAGAACCCCAAACCACTCTACAAACAAAGGGTGCCTAGGAAATGCGCAAGTCCTCTTGATGATTTGTGCCAGGAACAAGGGCTTGACTCGGGGTCTGGGCCGACTCCAGGCTGACACTGTCCCTCCAGTGATCTGAGTTGACCTCCCATATTGTACCATCCACATAAGAACTGACTTCTTCCTTTCCTCTTGGATTTGATTTTTAAAAAAACCAAAAAACATAGCTTCTGATTCTATCAATGACTTATTATTGTTTTTTAAAAAAGCCACTATTATTCAAGGTGTCTAGAAACTCTTTGTCTGCCCATGACATGTGAATTTTACTAACTCATCTTTAAACGTCAGTGACAAGTTCAGATAGGGAAAGAATTACACGTTACTTCTCTGTCAGGCTGAGTGATAGGAGAGTGTACATGCAGAAGAAAACCAAGATCTCTATAGCTCTAGGCGGGGAAAAGCCTCTAATGATGCAAATGAGTCTCATATTCTCTCAGTGTAGAAATCGTCTAAATAAACATTCCTTTTTGACGGCGGTGTAGCCATTTTACCCCGATGTTGGCAGATGTGGGCTGCCTCTGGGTGAAGAGCAACTTAAAAAAAAAAAAGTATTTGAAATGTAGTGTTTAAAAACATCCAAAGCAATGATGCAGGGGGTTGTTAAGTTCCTATCATTGATTCAAATGGTGTTGGTTTTTTTTTTTTTCTCCTTCAATATTTTGCCTTTCTTGTTGTTGATTGAGTAATTTCACTCCCAAGAAAGATGATCAGAGATGAGCAAATAAGTTTAGGCACAAAACTGTTCATGGTGGCACTAGTGAACAACAACAACAACAAAAAAAAAACTTTGAAAAATCAGACAGAACTTAAATGCCCAATAATACAGGACCAATTGGGGAAATGATTGTAAATCTTCTCGCTGTCATCTAATGCAGATGTTCGAATGGCGTTTTAAACGAATTCAATGACTTGAGAACACTCTCATGGTATAATATTCGATGAAATATGTAAAAGAAGAAACCATGATATTTTGTAATCATCAAGTCTTTAAAAATACAATAAAAGGATTGTAATAAAACTCAGAGGAATTTGAACCATGCGACACCCAAT